AATAATCTCAAATTTTATGTTTTCCTGGAAATGGTATTTGTTCTTTTTCTGATTTAACAATACTCCACTATGAATATCTATCACAGTCTCTGTTTCCATTTGTTTATTAACATATATCAGCACTATTTCCATAGGTTAGGCATATTTGAGTCTGCCACAGCAAACAACAGAATACAAACGTAGAATGTTGTCATTCTTTTATGAATATACTAAGGAGTAGAATAACTGGCTGAAATGACGGATTATTTTCAAATAAAAATCAAAATAGTTTCCTTAGTTACTTCATTAATTGCCTTGGTATAAGAAGTTATTGTCCCCACATCCTCACCAGCATTTATTGGTTCTTTTCTTCTTGAAGATAGCCATTTCACTGGAGTATGATGGAGTCTTAAAGAAATTTTGATTTGCAAAGGGCTAAAGTGATGAATATTTTTCTTTATATACCTATTGACCATTAGTACATCTTTAAGATGTGTCGGTTTAATTTGTTTGACCATATGTTGACCGGATTTGTTTTGTGGTGATATTTTCATTCAGTTCCTTGTACATGCTAGATACTAACCCTCCATCAGAAGAGTAGCTGACAAAGATATTCTACCATTCCATAGGCAGTTTCTTTATCTATTAAATGTTTCTTTAGGTCTGCAGAAGATCTTCAACCTGAGGCCATTTATTTGTCAATTATTACTATTGTTCCTCTTATATTAGAATTCTATTCAAAATTATTTACTTGTATGTGTGGTAACAATTGTTTCTCTTACATTTTCTTCCAACAGTTTCAAAGTTTCTTGTCTAGTTCTTATGTCTTTTATCCATTTTGCATTGATCTTATTGTAGTGAGAGAGATGCATTTCTTATCTTCCACAAATGAATATCCAGTTTTTACAGTACCATTTTTAAAAATTATTTCTTTATTTACTTGGTACAGAGTCTTACTAAGCAGCTAGGACTCACAGAATTTCTCCTGTCTCAGCCTTCCCATAGCTGGGATTACAGGCATATACAACCATGCTAGGTTTTGTTTCTGGAATTCCAGGCCTGGCACAGTAGGCAGTACTAAGGATCAAACCCGGGTCCTTGCGCTTACCAGCCAGGCACTTAGACCGCTAAGCTATCTCCTCAGCCCAACGCAGTGCCATTTGTTAAGGAGTTTGTCTTTTCTCCAATGCAGATTTTCGCCTAGTTTATCAACACTTAGATGGCTGTAATTGTGTGGATTTGGTCTTGTGTCCTCTATTTTATTCCAATGGTTAATATGCCTATTTGTGTTTGTCAACTATAGCTTTGTAATATATTTTGAATTCAGGTATTGTGAAGTCTCCAATATATTCTATTGTTCAGAATTACTACTAATTCTGAAGTTTGAGAGCTTTTTTAATCTTTGAGAATTTTAGGATCACTTTTTCTATTACTATTATGAAAATTGTTAATGTTAGGTATTTTCTGGGAATAGCATTGGAATTGTAGATTTCTTTTGACCATTTTAACAATATTAATTCTGGTCAATTAATAAGAGGTCTTACAATTTTTTAGTATCTTCAGTTTCTTTCTTTAATATTCTATAATTTTCATCATCATTATAAAAGTCTTTTAGCTACATGGTTAGTTTAATTCCTAAGGGTTTTTTTGTTTTTTTGTTTGTTTGTTTGTTTGTTTGTTTTGTGGAACCGGTGATTGAAATCACGCCCTTGTGCTTGCCAGGCAAACACTTATTCTACTGAGCCATCTCCCCAGCCCCTAAGTAGGTAGATTTTTGTGTTGCTTTGTATCCTGGTACTTAGCTACATTCTCAATTAAAATACAAAACTTACTGTAATGATGTTTTTAGGGATTTTAGGTAAATGATGACATCATTTACAAATACAGGGTGTGCCTTCTTCTTTTCCTGTTTGCATCCCTATTTTATTTTTTTCTTTTGCCTCATTGCTGTGGCAGAAGTTTGAGTATGATATGAAACACAACTGTGGAGGGAGGATGTCTTTGTTTCTTTTATATTTTTAGAAACACTTTGTTTCCCAACAATCACTATGATGTTTTCCATTTTTCTCACACGTACTTTTGCATTACTTTGAGAAATTACATTTTTCCAGAAGTTTTTTTTATATGAAAGTATACTGAAATTTGTCAAAGTCTTTTCTGCCTCTATCAGGATGCTCATGTGATTTTCATTCTTGATTCCATTTCTGTAGTAAATTATGTTCACAACCTTGGAATGAAATCAATTTGGTCATGATGCAATATGTTTTTAATGTATTATTGAATTCCATTTGCAAGAACTTTATAAAAGAACTTGGATCTAGGTTCATCAAGGTTAATGATCTGTAGTTTTTCTTTGTTGAGTTTCTGGTTTGGTTAAGGAGATGTTGGCTTCAAAGAGCCAATTTGGAAATATTCCTTCACCATCTACAAGATGGAATAGTTTCAGAGGTATTGATGTTTTTTCCTAAAAGCCTGCTTAAATTTGCTGGTAAGTTTATCAGGTCCTGGGCTTTTCTTAGTTGGTAGACTTTTTATTATTGCATGAGTCTCAGTGCTTTCTATTAAAACTATTTATTTTTCTTATATCTTATTGGTTCAATTTTTGCAGGTCATATATGGTGAACAACTTATCTATTTCAGTAAGATTCTACAAGGTCGTGCCAGAGCATGAAGCACTCTAGCTTGATCAGTTTTTTGGAAAGCCCTGAATAATTTTGGACAATGGATATACTTATCAACTTTTTCTCCCCTAAGGAAAGCTGAGCTGAGTGCTGGAATTTTTAATTCTTTCTTTCTTTATGCAGAATAAGGAGAATCTATGATGTCTAATGATCTAACTAAGCCTCAGTTCTAATCTTGTCAGGTGTCTAAACTCTACAGAACCTGTCAAAACTAAACAGAGATATCAATTCTTTGGGTATCTTTAGAAAAGTTGGAAAGTGACACAGATTAATTTTTTTTTCAGCAGGAAGTAGAAATCTGTGCTGGCTTTTTGCTGAGAAGCGGGAGGTAGCATAACAGTGTGAGCTACCATAACCATTTCTTCTAGAACGCTGTACTATGGCAGGCTGGTCAGAGCTCCAAGAGTGAGAAACAGAAACCAGTTCTCCTGGAAGTGTCCTGCAGAAACATGAAATCACTGTACACACAGTGAACCCTTTCCAACCTGTGAGTAAAGCTAAGAGTTACAGGTTAACTTCCTAATTATATAATTCTATGCCAGGAGCAAACACTCCACTGAGAGAGTGTCCTGAATTCCCCATCAAATCTTTTGATTCTAAATTTAATTTTTCCTTTAGGAATACTTCAGTTAGCATCAGCACTTCTTATGAAGTGAATTTTCCCACTGAGTGTTGTTGAATTAGCGTGTTTATCAGGGGAGGATTTCACGAAGCTTCCAATGCATCATTTTGCCAATGTCACTGTGTGACACTTGATTCTGTTTAAAACTTCTTTTTGGAGAGATAGTCGCCTTTCCTACATGAAAGTACTATAACTTACTTTGTAGGCTGTGCCAACAAAAGTTTAGTTTTGAAAGCTTGTCCAATATTATTCTATTTTACTTTGATTTTTTTTTTTTTTTTTAGATTTGAAAGGATTACAGTTCAATCTCAACTGGTACAACACATTGTATTAAAGGGAGGTATATGTTAGCCAATGTAAAAGAAAATTTAAAACAATATAAAAGCATCTTAAAAATATAAAATTTTAAAATTACCTGAAGTTGAAAATTACAGTTTATTTATACTTATGCAAATAAACTAGAACTATCCAAGATAGCTTGTCAACTTAGACTTATGATAATTTTGGTAAAATCATTGATTCTGGAAATGTTTCCCAATATTTATACCTTTAAGAGACAGTATCATAAACCCATCCTGACTACCATTCAATAGTAAATATGAATGTATTCACTTCATGTGGCCTCTCTTCCCTTTACTTGTCAACAATTAAGAACAAATTTCATTGTGCTATTCCTTCATCAAAATGCAAACCACTTTTATCCTGAGCCTTTTCTGTTCTCTGCACTGTGTCTTTTCAGAACTCAATCCATATATTGTGTTTTTTATTTTACTTTTAGGAATACAACTCTGATGATTCAACTTGGCCCAAAGACATAACCTTAGTGACCGGCACTGCATATGTACCAGCTTAGCCGAGACAGCTGTACTATGAATTCCAGACCTGAAGTCTTGGAAGCAATGTTGTTGTAGATGTGGCTTCATAATGACCAGGACTGGAGCCCTGGTATTCATGAGGATTTCATTCCTGGTGCAATGGTTTGGGGTATTACTGTCTTTTCCTGGATTCATCCAAACTAAACGGTACCAGTATCATAGCCCCCCAGAGGTGGTGATTCCCTTAAAATTAACTGGCACAGCCAGAGGAATTCAGCTTCCAGGATGGCTTTCTTATAGCCTTCACTTTGGGGGCCAGACACACATTATCCACATGAAGGCCAAGAAAAGTTTGCTACTCAGACACTTCCCAGTGTACACTTACACGGACCACGGTGCTCTGTTTGAGGATCACCCTTTTGTCCAGAATGACTGCTACTATCATGGTTATGTCGAAGGGGACTCAGAATCTTTGGTGTCTCTCAGTACTTGTTTTGGTGGCTTCCAGGGAATGTTGCAGATAAATAACATTACTTATGAAATCATGCCCTCAATGTTTTCTACTACCTTTGAACATTTAGTATATGAATTGGAAAGTGAAGAGACACAGTCCTCAATCAGAACACCTGACATTATGCAAGATGAAATAGAGCACCAAATGGAATTTGAAGATATTAGTAATTCCACTCTCAAGCAAAGTTCTCATTTGAACTGGTGGATCCACTATAAGACTGTTGAAGTTGCAGTGGTGGTTGACAATTACATGTATAATCATTATGGAAGAAATGAATCAAAGTTACTGGTGGATTTGTTTCGTATAATTAATATGGTGGATTCCATTTATTATATTTTGGGCATTAAGGTATTAGTGTGTGGCTTGGAGATCTGGACTAATTCAAACCCTATTGTAGTAGATGATGTAAGAAAATCTCTGGATCAATTTTGCAAATGGAAAGGTATATATATTACTCATCGGCTAAAACACGATACCATACATCTTTTCATGTACAGGGAATTGAGAGGATTAAGTGGCATAGGAGCCACTAAAGGAATGTGTAGCCCAGGACGTAGCTGTGCAATCGTTACTTTGGTAAACAGAAGTTTGGCCCTTTTCGCCATTGCTGTGGCTCATCATTTAGGTCATAATTTGGGCATGTCTCATGATCAACATACATGCAAATGTAAATCATATAAATGTATAATGCATGTGGATAACCCTCCTACAGTTTATTTTAGCAACTGCAGTTATAATTATTTTTGGGCATTCACAATAGACCAGACACCATGCTTGCTAGAAAATTTATACTCAAAGGACATCTTTGATAGGACGAAATGTGGGAATGGTATAGTTGAAAAAGGAGAGGAGTGTGATTGTGGAGCTTTAAAATCTTGTGCAGAAGACCCATGTTGTATGCCAAACTGCACTATCAGTTATGGGGCTACTTGTGCCTTTGGACCTTGTTGTAGGGACTGCAGATTTGCACCACCAGGGGAACTGTGTAGAAAAGAGGCCAATATATGTGATCTTCCAGAATGGTGCAATGGGACTTCCCACATGTGCCCAGATGATGTATATGTTGAAGATGGAATTCCCTGCAATGATACTGCTTACTGCTATGGAAGGGAATGTTATAGTCTCAATGAAAGCTGCAGGCAGATTTTTGGCCAAGAAGCAAGAAGTGCAAATGAGATTTGCTACAAAAAACTTAACACTCAAGGTACTCGTTTTGGCCACTGTGGTCTCAGTGGTACTAGTTATGTAAAATGTAACACATCAGATGTAATGTGTGGGAGACTTCAGTGTGACAGTGTGGCAGAACTTCCAGTTTTGGCTGACCATACCACAGTACACTGGACTCGCTTCAATGATAAACCCTGCTGGGGTACTGATTACCACCATGGGATGAAAATTCCTGACATTGGTGATGTAAAAGATGGCACAAAATGTGGGGAAGAACACCTCTGCATCAATAGGCATTGTGTCCACATATCTCAATTGGATAGTGATTGCTCACCTGGATTCTGTAACATGAGAGGCATCTGCAATAATAAACATCACTGTCACTGCAACTACCTGTGGGACCCTCCAAACTGCGTGATAAGAGGGTATGGGGGCAGTGTCGATAGTGGCCCACCTCCTAAGAGGAAGAAAAAAAACAAGTTTTGTTACCTGTGTTTATTGCTCCTTATTATTTTGTTTGTTTTATTATGTTGCTTTTTTTACCTGTTTAAGAAGAAGAAAACTAAGGAAGAACAAAAATCTCAGACTCAATCGACAAAAGAAGAGAAAAAGTTTCAGAGACAAACTAGCTCAGTGCTTTCCCAAAGTAAACGTGGGAAAGAGGAGCAAAAACCTCAAATTCCACATGCAAAAGTGGAGAGAAAGTCACAGAGTCAGCCCAGCTCATTGCGTTCTCAGAGTCAACCCAGCTCACTGCGTTCTCAGAGTCAACCCAGCTCACTGCGTTCTCAGAGTCAACCCAGCTCACTGCGTTCTCAGAGTCAGCCTGGCAGACGAAAGCCATCAAACCCAATTTCAAAAACTTCATCCTTGCAAAAAAAGCCTTAATTAAAAGTCAATTCCTAGTATGATTTTATGTGTTTCTCTATTATAAGTAATTTGAAGATTTCTTTACTGAAATTTGTTCCATTATATTTCCTGGAAAATACATGTCACATGAGTGGTGTACCCGTTTTAAATTAGTACTGTAAGGTCTAAATCTCCTTTATTTTTTGCACCTGCTCTATAAAAAAAAAAATCTGCTGAGCCAACTTTCTTTGTATCAGGATATTGGGCTCTACAAAGTGAGAGCAAACAGAAACCTAAAAGCCTGTGAGTCCTATTTTCTTCCCATTATGTCAGTATTTCCTAAAAATCAGCATTGGTGGTCACAACGATATTTAGTCTTTAATCTATTCTTCATCAGATTTTCTTTTCTAATTTATTTCAGACCAACCTCATTGTGAGCCTTAAAGACACCAGCATAGCTGTCCAATGTGACACTCTTAGAATTCTGAATCTCAGCTCTTTCAGTTTTTATCTGTATTCCAAATTCTGAGCACCAAGTCTCTCCCTCAACTCATTCTGTTCTTCAACAGCTGTTTGCCCATTTTCTTATGTCTAATTCATTTTAAGATTATGGTTATGTTTTCCCTTCTTCTGATGGGACTCTGACTACTACTTAGCCAACCTTGGCATGAAGGAGGAATAAATGAGAACACATGGCAAGAAATATATTCAGATTTTTATTAGTTCATGTTTGCTATACATGTCGATTGCATTCCTGGAGAGGAGTATGTGTTCATAATACACCTTCTTTCTTTTTTTTTTTTTTCCTACTTCCTCTAGTCTCCATCCCTTCTCTTTCTGTACTTGGTCACTTTCCCTTTTGGAAAAAAAATACCTTTCTCCTTCGGTCTAACTTCATATTTTGCTTCTCTCATATAAGGAACACCATAAGAACACTATAAGATATTTAAGCTCATGTGTCTTATTTATTTCAATTAAAATTATAATCTCTCATTGTATCCATTTTCTGCAGCAGGGCCCAGGGAGGAACATTGCTACATTGTTAGTGGGAATTTAAAGTAGTACAACCAGTGCACATTTTTTTTTTTTAGTTGTTTCTTCTCTCAGACTTTCACTGCTTTGGGAAATTTAAGTTTTGCACACTTTTATTTGAAAATAAACATGACAATAACATTTCTTTCAACTCTATGTAAAATGAAATGAAGAGAATATAATTTTAGGTAATATGCAGTAACTCTGGAAAGCTCAGTGAGTCTGCTTTAAGAAAAGCTACACAATAACAAATACGTTTTTATGAAAATTATGTTAGGGGCATCAGAGGAATGTGAAAAAATGTATTTTAAAAACATAATTACAGAAAGTAACCATTCTGAATTATGAGAATGTCTTTTTCCAACTTGAGAGTTGTTAATATAAAGTGAACTTAGAGACCCTCTAGTGAGGAAACATGGAAATCTCTTAGTGCCTACCTAAGATTCATCGTTAGAAATTTAGAGGCATCAAACTAAAAAAATCAGTTTTCTTTATGTCTTATCACTAACTTAAATCCTGTCTGAGAAGCTGGGGTGGCAGGGAAAAGTTTCCAAAGACAGGAAAACATGGATAATCCTGCTGTACATGGGAAGCAGAGTCCCCTTCATAGGGGCTTTGTCTCAAGCTCATGTTCTGTCTCACCTTTAATATTTCCCTGTTTTAGAAGCAGCTTGGTGCACAGGCTAGTGAGCTGATATTTCAAGCTACAAGCATTAGAACTCACCCAATTCCCTTTACAGTTTAAAACATAGAGGCAATGAAAATCTTAATAGAAATTCCATAAAATGCATGCTTCTTATTGAAACTACTTTCTTCCCTAAGTCAGTCCCAGAAGGGACTGACTTGAAGCTATTAGTCGCTTGGTCTATCTTCAAACAGAAAGTGGAGACTTTTCAAGTAGTAAGGAATATCAGCCAGCCACTACATTGTATATAACTTCTAACATATTATTAAGATTTCTACATATTGCAAGTAAAATGAATAAGGCTAATAATAAAGAGAGGAAAAGTTTAACAAATATAATAAGCTTGGAGGTACAGTATCTTCGAGTTGATGGAGAGACTGAAAAAAAATGACAACTAACAAAAAATCTTAATAAGTATAATTTTTATAATCTTCAATAATAATCCAAAGAAACATTTTCTTTGACAGAAGAATCATTGCCTACAGGTCAGCACTCAAGAGCAATACTGATGTTATTTCTTCCAGGCAGAAAGAATATGATTCCATCAAGAAATATGGAGATGTGAGTGGCTGTATAAAGCATGTGACAGACAGATGCCTGAGGAGATATAACTCAAAATTATACTGTACAAAAATTTATGCACATTGATCGCCTTAATCTTAAGTCTCAAAAGCCTAAATGATCTAAAACCATAAACTTTTCTTTTCCTTGGCAAAACTGGGGATTGAACTCAGGCCCTTGTGCTTGCCAGGCAAGTGTATATTCTACTGAGCCATCTCCCCAGCCCCAACTTCTTCAGTATTAATATGATGCCATATTGGAAAATTCCACACCTGACCATATGAGTTCAATCGATAACCAGGTACACAATGCACAATTTATTTAGCATCTTTTTATTCATTTATTTATTATTTTTAAAAATGTTTCCTTTATTTATTTTTTTTATGGTCAGCTCAGCCCACCCTGGGGGCGGGGCTGGCATGGCATGTGGTGCTGGGGATCAAACCGAGGTCCGGGCATGCTTGCCTAAGCTTGCCTAAGCAAGTGCTTTAGACCACTGAGCTATCTCACCAGCCCCTATTTAGCATCTTTAAAGTAAAAAAAACAAAGGCTTTCCAGGTCTCTTCTAGCTCTGCTATATCTTTTGTGTGGGAATCCAGATGGCTCCCACAAGGATTCCACAAAAGGCAATAAAATGACACACATGCACAAGCTAGTGAACTGATATTTCACTCTTTCTTTTTTCTTTTCCTTTTTTTTTTTTTTCCTTGGTGGAACCAGGGATTGAACTCAGGCCCTTGTTCTTTCCAGGCAAGTGCTTATTCTACTGAGCCATCTCCCCATCCCAGGAAGTTAAATTCTTTTGGAGACTTGCATGATTCTTCCACATGATTCCATGTAGTGGATTCCCCAGCATGCTTCAGGTACAGTCACCTCTGTGTGTTAGTGGGTGTGGATTTCTTCTTTGTTCATTTATTCTTTGTTCTAAGGTATGAAGATAGCAAGGATTACTGTGGATAATGTTAAAAAAGAGGAAGCTTTTGTGTTTATTCAAAATCAGGAAGTTAAACTCTTTTTTTTTTTCTTTTTCTTTTCTTTTCCTTCTTTCTTTTTTTCTTTCCTTGGTGGAACCAGGGATTGAACTCAGGCCCTTGTTCTTCCAGGCAAGTGCTTATTCTACTGAGCCATCTCCCTGGTCCAGGAAGTTAAACTCTTTTAAACATTGGTTGTCTAAGTGTGAAACATCTTACAGAAGTGTGTGGCATTGGAATGACCACCATGTAAGACCAAAAAAATCCTGAAGAATAAACTATTGGAGTTCTATTCTGTAAGAGATGAACAGAAGTTAATGAAAAATAGAAAAATGTTCTATGAAATTGAAAATGAAGGTCTTAGTCACACAATGAGTGGGTCAATTAGCATTAGAGTGAACACATACCAGTTAATGATACAAAGATGATGAAAAAAGATCCCAATGAATTGCAATTGATGAGAACTGTGAGTACTCAACATGATGTTTGTAGAAATTTCAGGGAAAATGTGGCATGAAATTTCTGGTTTGTGATGACAGAGTGTCTGCTGATCACATAGCAGTAGTGAAACTAAGTAGTGAATTTTCTAAGGTCCATGTGGAATACACGATGCCAGAACAAGTCTAGAATGCCAAAGAATCATTACCTACTTAGCACTACTGCTCCATGAAGATATCAATTAAAGTTGATGAGATAGTTCCTACACAAAGCAAGAATACCAAAACTGAATCCTTGTTTGACAACTGCTCATGAAATATATATATATATATATATATATATATATATATATATATATCAATGTAAACTTGCTTCCATAGGCAAAATCTTATAAACATAGGTAAAAAGAAGGAATTTTTTTACCAGTTCATTAATATGCCAAAAAGTCACAGATTGCTAAGATGAGCTTTTCCAATCAATTTCATAATTTTTTTTAAGCTAGTAGTTCACAGGCATTGAAGGGAAGCTAGACTGCAGGCCTACAACAAGAGTTTGCTAATCCTTGCAATTGTTAGCATCTCCTAGTTGAAGCTATCACTGAAGATAACGTTTGTGCCACATGCTTCCCCTGCATGTAACTTCATTAATTCACCTGTGTGATAGATTATTCTTAAAGTTATAAAGTCACATTACTGAGCTGCCTGCAGGCAGCAATGAACACAGGTGGATGTGGAAGCTTTTGAAAAATCAGCATGAGGAACTCCATATGAGCTGTGGTCAAAACCTGGGACATAATGACCAGAGACACTTTTAGATAAGTTCTTTATTTTTTTATTAATTTTATTGAGAAACAAATAGCAATGAGATAGTTTCAAAACCAATTAGTAGGATAGTTTGAATAATTAATACATTGCAAATTGTTTTCTTCTTAGTGGTTATTCATAGTAGAAGATAAAGATGTGATATCCTGTCCAAACACTATTAATACAAATCTTTCTTCTCATTGAATCAAGAGAAAGTACTATATGTCTAGATTAATTATTCTGCATATACAGATACAAAATTGCTGTTCATTTGTATCTCTTTTTT